TATCCTGCCCGGATCATCGCGCCCACTCCATCCCTGCCCGTACACTCCTTCCCAATTCACCCCTGCCCAGTTCATCCTTCCAGGTCCATCCCCGTTCATCTATCCCTGGCCGGTATTCCCTGCCCGGTCCATTCCTGCATATTCATCTCTTCCCGGTCCATTTTTTCGCGGTTCATTCCTTCTTGGCCCATCCCTGCCCCGTTCATGCTGCCCAGTGTGTCTCTGCCGGGTCCGTTCCTGCTCGGTCCGCTCCTTATCCGTCCATTCCTTCCCGGTTCATCATTTCACCATTCACTCCTTCCCGGTCGATCCCTGCCCGGTGCATCCCTTCCCAGTTCAGCCCTGCTCAGTGTATCCTCTTCCCAGTTCATCTTTCCCTGACCAACGTCCCCTACCCGATCCATCCCTTCCCAGTTCATCCTTTTCTGGTTCATCCCTGCCCCATTCTTCCTGCCCATCTTGTTCCTTCCCGGTCCATTCTTGCCTGGCAGTCCCTGCCCCGTGCTCCCCAGTGCCCACTGATGCCTTCCTGCTGTACTGGTCCCACTGACGCCTCGTTTCCCTCTCAGTTCCCTACAAATTCTTCTCGGACCCGTCGGGGATCAACGAGAAGCGGAAGCAGCGGCGTATCCGGACCACTTTCACCAGCTCCCAGCTGAAGGAGCTGGAGAGGGTCTTTGCCGAGACCCACTACCCCGACATCTACACCCGCGAGGAGCTGGCCCTCAAGATCGACCTCACGGAGGCCCGGGTGCAGGTCAGTGCGGGAAGGAGGGGATGGGGATGGGGGGCTGAGGATGAAGAAAGGGGGGGCTCTAATCCCACCAGAGCGGGAACCCTGACAGTGGGATGCTGCCGCTGTGCTCCCTGTGTTGGGATGGAGGGCAGGGGGGGACTCGGCCTCGGCACCACCACAGCTGGGGACACAATGGGGGGCACTGCTCTGCTCTGATGGGGACTTCAGGGGTGTCCCTGGTGCTCAGCCTGACTCCCACCAGAGTAGGGACATTGGTTCATGCCACGGCACTGTCACTGCCACCGATGATTTAGTCCAATCTGAAACACTTAGAGGTTGGTGAGAGTCCAGGGAGGACAGAGTGGCACCTTTGTGGTGGTGGGGTGCAGACACCCCTCCCCGCTTTTTTTGGGTGCAGACGCTGCCTGTGTCAGTACAGAATTCTCTTGGTGGATGCAGATCCTCTTTGTGAGTGCAGACACCCCTGTGTTAGTGCAGACCCCCCTGTGTGATCACAGAACCTCCTTTGTGGGTGCAGACCCCTCTTTGTCAGAACACCCGTCCTCATAGGGATGCACGGACCCACTGGCCTGGAGCGTCCCACCCCCAGGGATGGGGCTGCGGGGGGGATGGTGTGTGGAGCCGACTCCACCATCGGCACCATGGGCAGCTGGAGAGGTGCCCGCTATGGGGGTGGGCTCTGACCCTGCGAGGTGCAGGTGTGGGTGCACCAGGGGCCCTGGCAATGCCCCCTCACCGTTTCTCTCCCCCACCGTCGCCCATGTGAGTGCCTGGTATCGGCCTCACAGATCCACATTGTTGTGGATATGCGTATCCCTCTGGTGCTGCTGAAAACATTCTTCCCCTTCGTGGGAATGAGGGGCTGTGAGGGGAACCTCAAGGCCTGAGGGGGGCTGCCTGCACCCACAGGCTCCCCAAACCCCCAAGGACGGTGGTGTGGGGTGCTCCCAATCCCCTCCATCCCCCCCAGGTGTGGTTCCAGAACCGTCGAGCCAAATTCCGCAAGCAAGAGCGTGCGGCCAATGCCAAGGGTGCCAGTGGCACCGGCACCACTGGGAAGAAGTCGGAGCCGCGCTCTTCCTCGGAAGATGACGAATCCAAGGAATCCAACTGCAGCCCGACGCCAGACAGCACGGCGTCCCTGCCTGCCGCTGCCATTGGCAGCCCCGGCGGTAGCCTGAGCCCCAGCCCTGGCGCGGGGGCACCCATGGGACCCGGCCATACCCCCCAGCCCCTCAAGGCGCCCCTCTGGGCAGGGGTGGGGGGTGGCAGCGGTGCCCCCAACGCGGCCGAGCTGCTGAAAGCCTGGCAGCCCACTGAGGCTGTGCCGGGACCCTTCTCTGGTGTCCTCTCCTCCTTCCATCGGAAACCCAACGGCATCAAAACAAACCTCTTCTGATCACTGAGTCACCGGATCTGGCTGCCCCAAAATCCCCCCTAGCCCCCATCCTGCACACCCCACCCACTGCCCCCACCACGGACCCAGCCACGATGCTTCAGCAAACGGGGAGATGGAACAGGGACCGCCCCCCGCCATCTCCTCGGACCCTGCGCCAGCGGGATGGACCCGGAGCTGGGGCAGCTCCCACCGGTACCCATGTAGGTGCTGCGGGACCACGGGGTGCAAGGCGGGGGCAGCGCCGCCGTGCTCAGCCGGCATGCCCCTGGCACAGCCTTCGCTTCTGGGGACTCCCGGTGCACTCCAGGGTTGGGGGCAGGTGCAGGGCTCCCCACAGCACTGCGGGTGCTCCAGGATCTTGGTACCTGCCCCAGGAGAACCCCCTCCAATGGGCTTGGCCGCTGGGCTGGGGGTGAGGAAGCACTTTACAGGGCGGGGTCTGGGGGCCACGGGGTGGGCGTTGCTGGGCAGTGCGGCAGGGAGAAGCTCCTTGGTGTGGGGAGAGGATGCCCCCCAAATTCTGCCTGCTGACATGGATGCCCCCTAGCAGCACCCTGACTCGGTGGGACTGGAGGTGAGAGGACCCCCCCCTTCCCCCCAGGATTTTGGGGAGTAAAAGCAGGACTGGGGGATTCAGCACTCACCAGCATTGCCGTGGGTGCTGCACACGGAGGCAGGGCACCAGAACGGCTGAGAGTGAGGTAGCCACCCCGAGAGGGGGCTGGCGAGAGACTGAACCCCTAGAGCAGCCAGTGGGACCCCTCAGGAGAACACGGACCCCTCAAAACAGCCGGTGGGATCCCTTGGCTGAGCCAGGACCCCCCGAGCAACCAGTGGGAGTGCCGGGAGCAGCTGGTGGGACACCTCAGAGAAGCCAGGACTCCTCACCAGAAGCAGGATGGGTGCTCCCACTGGAGCTGGCACAGGTGCAGTCAGGACGCTCCAGCACAAAGGGTCCCCAGCAGGGGGCTGGAGTGCTGGTGGGCTCCCTTGCACCCAGCTCCCCCCTACACTGGTGCTGCCGTGCCAGTTGGCTTCGTGGCATGGTGAGCATGCTGGCAGCCCACCCATGTGTCGTTGTCCACCCCCCATCTCCCCCACTCCCCCCGAGGTGAGGTCCCCTTTTCTTTTGTTTTTTATTAACATTCTGTAATTTATTGCCCATGTTTGCAAATGCCACCAATCCAAATAAAACTTAATTTATTGATGATGCTGCTGGCCCTCAGCCCTCACTGCACCCCCCACAAGGGCTGCAGGGCTGAGGGGCTGCATGGCCCTCACCCCTGAGCTATCCAAAATCCAACGTAGCACCCTAGGTGATGCCACAGACCCCCAAGCACCTTAGGGGTTATTTTGGGTGCCCCCCACCAAAAGACCTCAAGGACATGTAGGGAGCTGTGGGAGCACCTTATGGGAAGCCCCTCAAGTGGAATGAGGAGAGGGGTGCCCCACACAGCCCCTCTGGCCTCTTGGGGTCCTTTGGAGGTGGTAATGGGGAAGGTCCTAGGGGCACTGGGGTGGTGAGAAGGAGCACACCCAGGGTGTTGGGCGGACAGTCTGGGGTACCCAAGGTGGGCAAGAAAGGCGGAAGGCACCAAGTCCCACCTTGTGGGGACCAGTGAAGCCACTCTGGAAGGTCCCCATTATCCTGGGACCAGTATGGCCAGCCTGGAGCATCCCTGACTGTGCTGGGACCAGTACAGCCAGCTCGGGGGGTCCCAGATCACACTGGGCCCTGGTTCCTCAGTCCCGCCCCCTCGCCAGACCCTCCCAGACTCACCCTTACCATGCTGACTCACCACACCCATTGCATGAAACATAACAAAAATCACTCCAGATTTACCAAAAAACACCAAACACAGGGCATGACAAGACAGGGATTTAGTGGAGGGGAAGTTCAAACCAAACACCCCAGTAAGAGGGGATTTGGGGGGCTGCTGGGGGGCCCGGCCCATCCTTCATCTCAGCCGGAGTGAGGGGACGGGGTGATGGAGGTGGCGTTTGCCCCCCACCCCCCTAGGGGACAGGGAGAGTCTGGAGGGGTCATCCCAGCAGGGAAGGCATGGCTGGGGGATCCTTGGCCTGGGGACCCTCACCCTGGGGACCCCCCTGGAAGGGCACCTGGTGAGGTTGCGGGCTGAGCACCCATGGGGGACCTGGGTGCCAGCCCCACTGCCCCTGAGGGCAACAGAGACCCCCGGGGCGGGGACGGACCCAGCAAGTACCTAATGGGCAAACTGGGAGCGGGGGTACACCCCGGAGGCACTGGTGGTGTGAGGTGGGGTCTGGGGGTGAAGGCACTGATCTGACTCAACTGCAGTGGGATTCCCGGGGTAGGAATTCCCAGGGCAGGGACAGGGACCTCCATGGTGGGGATGGGACTCCCAAGGATGGGGACAGGCACCCCTGGGGTGGGGAAAGAAACCTCCAGGGATGGGGATGGCACACCTACACTGAGGATGGGGATCTCCCAGGGTGGGGAGAGGGACTCCCAGGGAGGGGATGGGACACCCCTAGCATGGGGACATGAATCCCTGGGGTGGGGACAGGGACCCTCCAAGCAGAGACAGAAACCTCCAAGGTTTCTGTCCACGGGTGGGACTCCCGTGTTGGGGACAGGGCCCCTCAGGGTGGGAATGGGTGCCCTCAGGTGGGAAGACAGGGGTGGGGACAGGGACCCTCTGAGTGGGGATGGGACCTTTGGGGTGGGGATGGAGACCCTGAGCTCTGCCCAGTGCTGTCCATGGGGGCTGGCCAAGCCATCCCATCCCATCCCATCCCATCCCATCCCATCCCATCCCATCCCATCCCATCCCATCCCATCCCATCCCATCCCATCCCAGCACTGACTGGGCATCATGAAGGCACTTGGGTTGAGACACGACTTTGCTCAGCACCTCCTCCTCCTTCTCCTCCTAGCTGTGAGGAGCTGTGGGGGGAGCCAGGGCCCCCAGAGTTCCCCCCAAACAGCCCTTCCTCCAGCCCTTCTTCCAATAAATAAGAAATAACTTATATGTGTGGATGTCCCCATAGGGACCCTCCTGTGAAATTATCTGACCAGAACCCACCACCCGCCCTGTCCCCCCCTCCCCACCCCATTACCCAGCACCCGAGATGGGGGGCAGGCTGTGCGGGTCCCAGGGCTCCCACTAGCTGCTGGTGATGGTGGGATGCATGGATGAAGGATGTGTGACCATGGGATGAGGGATCCTCAGCTGCAGGATGCGGGATGCTCAGATGCAAGATCTGGGATGCATGGCCATGGGATCCGGGATACATGGTCGCAGGATCTGGGATGCTCAGCCACAGGATCCAGGATGCAGAACGCACACCCATGGGATCTGGGATGCGTGGTTGTGGGATGCAGGATGCTGGGCCACAGGACACGCGACTGCAAGATCTGGGATGAATGGCTGCAGGATTTGGTTGCTGCAGGATTTTGGGTGCTGGGCCGCAGGATGCAGGCTGTGCAGCCACAGGATGCTGGGCTGTGGGATGCACGGGATGCCAGGTGTGCAGCTACTTGCGGAGCTGGAGGCTCTCCAGGAGGACACGCTTGTGGCCAGGCTCCAGCACTCCAGCCTCCTCCAGGTCCTCCTCTGTGATGTCACTGGGGTGGGGGTGCAGACATGGAGCTCTCTGCCCCCAGGCTTACCACAGCCTCGGGAGGAGGGCACCCTGCCCAGGTGAGGTCCCCATTAGGGGGTGCGAGAGCCCCCACTTGGGCTGCTGGGTGCCCACCCAGTCTCCTTCCTGTCCCTGCTGTGGGGCTACGTGGCCCTGCGGGGGGGCAGTGGGGATCCCTTGGAGTAGCTGGGACACCCAGGGGCAGCAGGGATCCTCAGGAGTGGTGGAGATCCCCCAGAGCAGCACAGAACCTCTGAGGGCTGTGGGGTCCTCCAGGACAGCAAGGGGAAACAGGGGAAACAGAAACCCAGGGGAAGCGGAGAGCCTTGGGGGTCAGTGGGAACCCCCGAGGGACAGTGGGGACCACCAAAAGCAGTGCCCCCATGGATCTCCCCAGAACAGGGTCACCCCTCCCAGGCATTGTTGTGACCCTCTGGGGAGGACATGGACCCCCTGGGGATGGCAAGTCCTGAGGGGGGGTGTGAGCAGTTTCGGGGAGCAGCTCACCTGAGGAACTCCAGGTCATCCCAGCCATTGCGCACCAACCCCTCCTCGTACCGCTCCAGCCCCAGCGCTCGCAGCCACTCGCCCACGCCAGGCATGGTGCCCACGCCACGGCCCAGCACCTGCACCCAACACCCTCAGCACCACGGGGTCTCCCAGAGAGCCCCAGCTGAGCACACTGGGAGGCCCAGCATCCTGACCCCCACCCACCCTGCATCACCCACCTCCTCAGCCAGGTCCTCCTGGATGCTCTCCTGGATGGAGTGGGGTGGGAAGGCGAGGGGGCGGCCATAGTCGGGGGGCAGGCAGCGGGGGGGCAGCCCCCCTTTGGCCAGCAGCGGTGGGGGTGGGGCCACCCTCCCCTTCCCACCCCCGTAGTCCACCTCACTCAGCGTCTTGGCCATCTGCAGCACCGAGCAGGAGCGGTCATCCAGCAGCCCCCCAGCACTGGGCAGCCCCCCGGTAGTGGGCAGACCCCCAACTGCAGGCAGCCCGCCAGTAACGGGGGTCCCACAAGCCCCCTCCATCCCAAATCCAGCCCCAGGAGCTGGGGGTGGCCGGGGGTGCAGCTTGGGCAGGGGAGCCTCTCCAAAGGCAGTGGGGTGGGATTTGGGGTCCTCACGCGTGGTGGGCACTGGCAGCTCCTTGGGGGTGCCAAAGAAGGGGTTTGTGGGGAGCTCCATCTCCCGTGGTAGTGGTGGCGGGGGGAAATCTGGTGGCGGCAGGTTAACGGTGCTGAGATCCTCCTCCTCGTCACTCTCATCACCGCGGCACACCGAAGGGTGCCGGCGGCGTTCTGGCACTGCCAGCTGCACTTTGGCCTTGGGGGGCTTGCCAGGGTCCCCTGGTGCCAGCAGCTGGTGGGGGACCCCTTCCAGGACGTAGTATGCGGGATTGTTGAAGCTGTTCTTCAGGGGAGCCCCCGACATCTCTGGCACTGCCTCTGCCTTGGACCTGCAGGCACAGGGGTGAGCGTGGCAACCCAGAATGTGCCCCCTCCCCAGCCCTACCCATATTCCTCACCGGTTTGGAGCAGCCTCATCCCTGGGGGTGCCACGGTGTGGGGCAGGGGGCCGGAGGGCTGCTGCAGTGTTGCCCTTCTCGGGCTCCTCCAGGAACTTCGCTGGGTTGGCAGGGGGGGGCTCGGCGACAGTGGGCTTCCGCCCCACAGACCTGGGCAACAGGAGGTGTGGGGTGCTCCATGGGCTCGAACCCCTGGAGTGGAGCTCAGAGTCCCAGGATGGCACAAGGTTCAGATCCCCTGAGATGCATCTCAGCAGCCCAGCACTGGGCTCAGACACCCAGGATGGGGCTCAGGCCCCCAGGATAGGGTTCAGTCACCAAAACATGTCGGTGCCACTCTTGGAGGCACAACAGAGCCCCATACCTGCCCTGCATGGAGCAGAGCTGTCCCCAGTCACCTCCCACACACCATCCCTGCACCTTCCCGAGCCCCAGGGCCCCCAGCTATGTGTTACCAGTGCCCCCCACCCGCTAAGCCCTGTCCCCCGTACTTGGCATAGTCCTGGGTGGTCCTGGCACCCAGCGGCACCTTCCCTTTGCCGGCTGTTGTCTCGTCCTTATCAATGCTGATCCACTCTGCCGGGGGACAGGGGCTCAGTGGTGGGGTCCCGTCCCCCCAGTTTCCCCCAGGGAGGGGAGTCCTCACCATAGAGCCTCTCACGGGTGCCCAGGCGCTCAGTGGGCACCCGGACCTTCATGGAGCCACGGATGTTGCCGGTCTCCTCACCACGGTGGGACAGGTAGGTGAGGAACTGCTGCGCTGTGCTGCCAATCATCGACTTCAGGGCGATGACACACTCCCCTAGGGGTGACAGCAGGGGGTCAGGGGTCTGCACCCCTTGGACCCCCGGGTGCAGGCACGGTGCTGGTGTGGACAACACTCACCGTAGGATTCATAGCCATCGAGGGATTTGACGGTGAGCAGGAGGTGCTGGTCCTGCAGGTACTCAATCTCAGAGAGGATGGGCTTCAGCTGCAGCCAAGGGGACAAGGTGCTGGCACTGAGTGGGGGTCTCCCTGCCTGCAGCTCCCCCTGGCGCCCACCCTGTCAGCCCCCAGCTCCTCCTTACCGTCGGCAGCTGCCGGGACGACCACTGCACTTTGAGGAAGTTGATGTTGTCACTGCTCTGGCTGTCATTCTCGAAGCTCTTCTTGAATTCTGTGGTGGTGGGGGGACATGGCATCACCCCTGCCAGTCCCCCTGGCACCCCACATTACCATCCCAGTCCTCACCTTCCAGGCAGGTAGAATAGAACTCTATGAAGAACTTGGTGCGACTGGATGTCTTCACAATGGCCTCGATGCTCTCAAACTCGATGTACGCCTGCTCTGAGGACTTGGAGAGCCCTCCATGGAGAGACGAGCTGTTGGAACCCTGCTGGGACCTCCCCATCTCGAGGGACGAGAGAGAGGTGGAACCCGCAGCAGGGTGGGGGACAATGAGATGTCCCCTTGGGCACAGGCACCTTTTTTGGAGACAAACTGGGATGTCACTCCCACTTCGAAGGAGCCGAAGACGGGTGAGTGGTCACTGGTGACAATGTCGTCTGTGCATCCTGCAGCCAGCAGGGATGGGGGGGACGGTCAGGATGGAGGGGACTGTCCCAGATTGGGGGACAGGGGTGTTGGAGGGTCACGCTGCTCACCATAAGCGTTGCAGTTGACGTGAGTCTCAGGGTAGGACTTCCAGAGGATGCGGTCGCACCAGGATGGCACGTTGGTACGCACCTGGCAGGGATGGGCAGTGGGTGAGGGTTCAGATTGAGGTGTCTACCCCTCCCCTGACTCCCCACTATCCCAGCACCTACCCCAGTGGGTTTCTGCTTGTGCCAGACATAGGTGTCCCGGGATCCCCGCTCGTAGCGGTAGGTTGGGGGGAAGGTGATCTCCTCCTCACCTGCACAGACAGCAGTGGGTCAGCACAGTCCCAGCAGGAGGGGCTGTCCCCCCAGACTCTCCCAGAGCCCCCCCAGTCCTCACCAAAGCGCAGGAACACCTTGTGCTTCTCCTTCTCCAGGTTGAGCTGATCCACCTTCAGCAGCGGCTCCAGCTCCTTGCGGCTGATGTAGTTGAGGATCTCCTGTGGAACAGAGGGGCTGGCACTGGGCTGGGCAGGGGGTACCTGACACCCCTCACTCCCCATTCCCCTCCCTCAACCTGGATGTCCATGTCCAGGCGGTAATTGAGGTCCCCAAACCAGAAGAGGTGGGTGAAACGAAGGGAGATGTCAAAGGAGCTCAGTTGCTTGTCCCCCAGTGAGAGTAGGCGCAGGATGTCCAGGTAATTCTGGTTCCTCCTGAAGCAGGGGAAATGGGGACAGGGGTGTCACAGGCATGGGGACAGGGCCCCTCCCAGCCCATTCTGGAGCAAGGGTGCTCACCGTGCCGTTTTCTCATTGCCAGAGGTGAGGTGGCAGTTGACGAAGCCAAAGGAGGTGCCATTGAACATGAAGGAGACACCCACAGCACCCTTGTTCCCTGTGGGGACACGGGGACATGGGGTCAGATCAGGCCAGGGCAGGGGCAGTCCCCCAACCCTGGGGGACAGGGATCAAAGTCCCCACCTGGCTGGCTGGCATGGGCACGCGCCCAGAGCCCTTCCCATGTAACACACATATCCCCAGAGCCTGCCTCGTGCAACACACACACAGAAAGCCCTCCTTGTGAAACGCCCACACCCAGACACCTTCTCATGCAACACATGTGCTCTGCGACCCCTTCTCGGGCAACACACACCACCCCAGACTCCTCTTCAAGCAACACGTGCTTCAGGACCCCATCCTGTGCGACCCATGCAACACCAGAAACACCCTGGAAACCCAGATACTACTGCCCCCCTGGTGCAGCGCACAGACCCTGTCCCCCACGGGCCCCTACCCAGGGTGTTGGCGATCCCTGTCTTGACGCTCGAGGTGCTGACGTGGCTGATGCGGTTCTCGTGCTCCGGCTTCACCAGCACCACCACCTTGATGTTCCACAGGGACTGCATGGCCACCTGCCGGCCCCGGCATCCTCAGCCCCTGCCAGCACATGCTGGGGTTCCCCCCGGGGCTGTGGGAGCCCTTCAGTGCACCCACAGCTGCTGCTCATTACTGCTTCACCCCAGCCGCTTCTGCCCAAGGCTGTTCCCCAGGAATTCCACCACCATCAGCACCCACAGCTACCAGCACCAGGAGAGCACCCTAAAATACCCAGTGTCAGCAGAACTAGAGCACCAACAGCTGCCCAGCACCACAAGAGCACCCCAAAACACCCAGTGTCACAGAGCCAGAGCACAGCCACCCCAGGGACAGAGTATCACCCACCTCCACCACCCCCTGGTGCCTGCACACTGCAGTCCCCAGGATCCCCTGGAGCCTCTGGTTCCTACCGGCCGGTACTCGACCTCCGTGAAGTCCTTGAGGACGGTGCGCAGGAAGTCCACCCACTCCTTGTCTCCCAGGGAATTCTCCTGGGTGCCGAAGACGTAGATGTCATGGGGGATGGCCATCGTCACCTCATCCAGGGTCTTGCCCAACCCCTTGGATGTGAACCATGAGGTGATGCTCTTAGGAGGGGGGACGCTGCCTGCAAGGGGGACAGCACGGTTAGGGGGGACCCCAGGGTCTTGGCACTCCACCTGGGCTTCCCCTGCCCTTCTCACCCATATTCCAGGTGCCAATGAAGATAGAGATCATGTCAGGCTCATCCTGGTGGGAATGCTTGTTCTTCATCAGCTGCAGGAGCTGGCAGAAAGCCTCACGCTTCTGCAGGGGTGGACATTGAGAGGGGGGGCCAGAGGGGCTCTCCACAACCCCCTCCAGCCCCCCTGCTTTGGCTCAGCCAAAGCTGGCACCTCCTGGGCATCGGGAACCACTACAGGGACATTCCCCAGCCATCAAGCACCGGCACCCAGTGCCCATCCCTGAGCCCTACCAGGGCCCAAGGGTTAAATCCTGCCCACGCCCCACCCTTACAAGGGACCTGCCCCCTGGTCCCCCCACCCAAGTATTACCCACCCGGGCACTGACGAAAACGAAGTCTTTCCGTTGTGTTTTATCCTTTTCCTTCTCAAAAACGATGCCCAGCTTGTTCTGCACCCGCTGTGACTTGATCAGCTGCCGGACTGGGGAGGAGCAGAGAGAGCTGGGGAGTGCTGGGTGCCACCTGGGTGCTGGAAGCCCCCCAACCCATGCTTTGGGGGACCCCCAGGATGGGGACACCCCATAGCTTCCAACCCACCACTGAGCCTCACAGAGATGCTCTCCAGTGCAAAGGCAGCCTCAGGGGTGCAGGGGGCCCCGTGGGTGCCTCCCCACTCACTCTTGTCATGGGTGAAGGTGTTCCAGTCCTCCTGGGAGTCCTTCTGCTTCTTCAGCACCACCAGCTTCCCCCCCTCCACGTCCACACTCAGTGTGTACTTCTGTGACTTCCCAATCTTGGTCAGGTCCCCCAGTGTGATATCCAGCTTCACCTGCCGGGGGACATCGGGATGAGGGAAGACAGAGGGGACATCCCAGCACTCCAGCTGGCACTCAGGCCCCCCCAGAGACACCTAGAGGTCTGTGCCCTCAGTGTTACACCACATGCACTCAACTGATGCTGTAAATCTCCCAAAACTCCGAACCTCAGGAAGGGGGGGTAGGGTAAGATAGGGCAGGGCTCACCTCAAAGGTCTGCACCGGGATGCTCTTGGCCTTGCGGGACAGGGGCTGGGAGGAGGCCACGGGGGCAGCCGAGCTCATCTCCTGCAGGGCCTTCAGTGCCTGCCAGAGCCCCCAGTGGCATCAGCTGAGAGCCCACCAGCCCCCTCCCCAGCTCTACCAACCCCTCCAGCTCTTGAATCCCACCAGTGTTCCAAGCACCCCCAGCCCTCCCAGCCCCCCAAGATCCACCAGCCCCCAAGTGCCCCCAGCTCCACTGCCCCCCCCAGTCCATTGCTCTCCTCAACTCCCCCCAGCTCCACCAGTCCAACAATCCCTGTCAGCTGCCCTAGTCCCACCATCAGCCCCATCAGTGCCATCAGCCCCACAGACCCCTCAGTCCATCCAGATCCCTCAAGACACCCCCATGAGAATGCACCCCCCACACACCCCCACCCTCACCTTCTTCTCAATGGAGGAGAGGAAATCTTTCAGCACAGACAGCTTCAGCACCAGGCTCTCCAGCTCCTGTTCCCCGCTCTGCCCTGCTGTCTGGAATTCCCATCAGGTAACCTAAGCACAGGGATGGGATCCCCACACCCACCCCAGTCCCCCCCAGAGTAGCAAGACTCCGAGGCACCCTGGGATGGGGCAAGATGGTGGGTGTTTCTCCCCAGGCTTTCCCACCACCCACAGATGGTGCTACAGTGGGATTCATGGGCACAGTCCGTGGTGGTGGGTTGCCACCACTGTGTCCCCATATCCCCCTCACCTGCTGCAGAATCTTGGAAACCATGGGGGAGCTCTGCTGGTCAAACACCTTGGAGAGGATCTCCAGCCCTGCCAGCACCTTGTCCACCTCACTGCAGGGGCAAGAGGAGCCAGCTCAGTGGGTGACACAGATGTCCCTCCATCTGTCCAGGTGCCCAGCACCCACCTGTGCAGCCGTTTGCAGGAGGTGACAAGGGTCTTGTTGAGGTGTGGGAGGCTGTTGGCCCCCCCCTTCACTGCCTCCAGGTCCAGGGTGTAGCTGCCCTTCAGGTACTCGTGGGAGATGCGGCTGAGCCCGTTGGCGCTGCGGGAAGGACACTCAGGGGGTGAGAGCTGGTAAGGATGGGCAGGGGACAGACAGGGGACCGGCAGGAGAAAGGCAGACCCTCACCTCTCTGCTGGCCCCTCCGGCACGGCTGGTCCCAGGCTAGTGGGGCTGAGCCTGGCTGAGGTACTGGAGAAGCTAGTGGAGCCAGAGCGTGGTGGCAGTGGAGGCTTCTCATCCTCTCCATCTGCAATGGGGTGATGAGGGAATCAATCACCACCACCCCAGGAGTCCCAGGATCCCCCCCACCCACCCATGTCACCCTGCCATACCTGAGTAGTCCCTGTCCTCCACGGTGTCCTTCTCTTTCTCCCTCTCGACAGGGAAGAGCAGGGTGCAGACCAGCCCCTGATTGGGCTGCAGGTACAGGGCGATTAGCTCGCTCAGCGTCTTGAAGCGCCGCACCTGCACCCCCTGCGACGTCTGCGGGGACACCAGGGCCATCAGCACCTGCAGCCACCATCACTGGACCCCCGGGTGGGGACATCACCAGGTAGGGAACCCATCATGCAGGGACACCACCATGCAGGGACGCCCAGGCAGGGATCCCTCCAGGCAGGGATGTCAATGTGCACAGAGCCCCACTGGAGGGATGTCCCCAAGCAGGGATGCTACCACGCAAGGAGCCCCAGGGAGGGATGTCCCTATGCAAGCATATCCCCAAGGAGGGACATCCCCATGCAGGGATCCCACCACCCAGAGATGCCAGCATGCAGGTACCTCCGTGCAGGGATACCTCCATGCAGAGAAGCCACCACGGAGGGATGTCCCCCTGCAAGGAAATCCCCACAAAAAGACTCCCACCCAGATATGTCACCATGCAGGGACCCATATGCAGGATGGGGGGCTGACTCCACAGGCCCTGGTGGGGAGCTGGGCCTGGTGCATGTGGCACAGTGCGGTGGTGCCACCCACGGGGGGCTGGCAGGTGGGCTGGCAGGGTGCAGGCAGCAGTCATCCCTTGGCCTCCTCCCTCCCGGGGGCAGCTTTTCCTGCCTGCTCAGCCAGCACAAAGGGGGTTCTGTTGCTCTAAAAATACCCAGTGCTGGCAGTCAGCCAAGACAGGCACAGCCAAGCCATCCGGCACAGCCGGGCACGCGCGTGGCACCAGGCCAGGACTGAGCCTGGCACAGCCAAAGAGACAGGCACACCCATGGCATGAGGTCAAGATTGAGCCCTGCCAAGCCAGAGACCCCTCGCTGCCCACGAGCCAGAGGGTGTCCCATGCCCCCACTGCCCACCTGCACAGCCAGGAAATCTTCCTCGTCGGGAAGGATGCGGTAGGTGTGGACATGCTTCTGGAACCTGTGGCAGCAGGGAGCAGGCCATCAGGTTCTAGGGTGTTGGGTGGCATTCTCCCCCCCACCTGCATGGCCCAGAACTCATCCAGCACCCCCAGTGACGAGCTCCAGTACCACTATTCCCTACGGCATCCAATGAGCTGACAGAGAAACCTATGGGAAAATGCCTGCAGGATGGGGGCTGGGGGTTCTGGACGGGTGCTGGGGGTCCCAGAGTGACCCCTCTGCTTGCTCTGACCCCACGATCAACACCACTACGTCCTTAGTAGTGCCACTGTCCCAGCCCCACTGCCTGTCTGTGTGCTGGAGCCTGTGTCCCCAGCCTGCAGTGCAGGCAGGAGATGGCAGGCGCAGGCAGGAGCTGGCAGGAGCAGGCAGGAGCTGGCAGCCAGGACACCAGGAAACAATTTATTTTCCAGTGGAAGCTGACAGGAACCAGGGACGCGATCCCGGCGCAGGGGGTGACAGGTGGTGCTAAGAGACAGGGTGACAACATCAGTGGGTGCAAGGAGTGGGACCAGGACTCCAGGGGTGTCCTTTCCCCATTCTGGGGACTCCAGGAGCCAGGGACCCCTGGCACAGCCAGACACCCCCCCCAACCCCAGTGCTGTCAGGAGGGACAGTGACTCCTGGGCTGGCCTCTGGCCACAGAGCCCACCATGAGCATCAAAGAGGCTTGTCACCACGCCAGGGCCACTGGCCACCACTCCAGGGCCACTGGTTACCACACCAGGGCCACTGGTCACCAAGGCCACTGGTCCATTCAGCTGCCGTGTCTCCTGCCCTGATGGCACCTCAACACGGGACTAGAGGACTGGGACAAGGCAGCATCTGTCCCCCCTGCACTGTGTCATGTCCATGGACAGGGTGCTGTGTCCCCTGCTCCCACTCCATGAGGCCACATCCCCTGGTCTCCTCCTATAGAGCCAGATCCCTCACAGTGTCACAGGTTGCCTACTGCCACTCCATGATGTTAGTTTCCCTGTGCCACCCCACAGAATCAGGTTCCCTGGTGCCAGCCCACAGAATCAGGTTCCCTGGTGTCACCCCACTTCCTGCAGTGCCAGGTCTCTCCAGCAGGGAGTGCCCCCAGGTGCCCTAATGCCCAGTCAGGGGTCGTGGGAAGCATAAGGAACCCCCAAAGTAGGAGGGGGGGCTGTATGGAAAACCTGCGGGAGGGGTGAGGGGGTCACTGTTGAAACTCCTTGCTGAGGGATCTCACGGGTCCCCAGATCAAAGGAATCAGAGTGGGAGAACCCCAGCTGGTGGGATTGGGGTGACACAAAGACACATCCCCCCAACGGGGGAAAACATAAGGAGTCTCTGTGGAAAGTCCTAAGGCACGTTTGGGGTCTCCATAGCAAGAACAGCAGTGGGGGTGTGATGGGTGGGTGCAAGAGGAACCCCAGCCCAGCACCAATACATGGAACCCCAAATTGGAGAGGCAAGAGGCATAATCCCTAGGAGGAACCTCAGCTGTGGGGGAGGACAAGGGGTTCTCCATAGGTAACCAGACGTGGAGCCAGAGAGACACGCAGCCTACGGGGTGAAGGGGAGGGGGAGGGGGACTACACGGCCCTTGGCAACCCAGCCCCGTGCCGCTGGCGGCTGCTATTTTGATGAGCGACGCCGGGGGGGGCCTTGGGAGAGCCGGGCTTGGGCACAAAGAGCCTTTATGTGGGAGCACTGGGGCTCCCTGTCAGCTCTGACACGCAGCCGGCACCCTGCCACAGCCTGGCCGGCACAGCGGGCACCCCATGCACACCCCCACCCTCCATCCTGAGAGCAGTGTGTGGGCACCTCGGTAAGGGGGACACCACGCACCCGCTGGCACTGGTGTCCCCATGAACCAGCAGTGAGGCAGGACAGGCGCTGCAACTCCCCATCCTCCTGTGGGACACCACACCGGAACCATCCCCAATGGCACTGCCCACCCACCGCCAACACTGGCACTCCTCGGGGTGCCACCGCTGTGTGCCGGCACTGTGGGCTCTGGTGATGCCCCAGTGTGCCACAATGAGATGGTCCAGTGTGTTCATGGTAAGGCCACAGCAAGATGTCCCGGTGAGCCACATCCATCCCGGAGAGGTCATGGAGCACTGGCAGGAGGGTTAAAGGAAGCCGACGCTGCCGGGATCCCGCTGCAGTTCCCTTTCCTCCTCCTGCTCCCGCAGCTATTTTTAGGGCCCCGGCAGTGGCTAGGGCCAATGGCTTCACAGCCCTGGCCACCCACTTGCTGGCAATGGGTGGGATCGCAGCACCAGGGATTCCCAGTGGTTCTTGTCGAGGTGCTTGTCACCCACCGTGGCATCCCTATGATGGGTTTTGTGATGCTGTGTGGTCCCAACCTGCAGCACAGTCACGTGGCACCCACAAGCCCCTCACTGATCAGTGGGAAACACCAGTCACAGACACCCCTTCCCCAGGCATCCATACCATGATGCCAGCTGCAGAACCCTGTCACCCACCCTGATGCCCTGACATGCCCCTAAGTCCTGTGACACCACATGTTCTCCCAGTGCTTTCTCCTGGTGTTGCTCACCAGCCCAGCTTCGTGGTGGGGAGCCAGTGCCCACAACCATGCTGTGCCCCTGTGGCTGGGAAACCACATTTGCCCCCGTCCACGGGGAAGGACGGCAGTGCCGCCATGGAGGCTATGTGCCTGGCACCTGCACGTGGCACCAGCACACAGCAGCCCCAGGCCAGGGCAGGCCAGCTCGCAGTTCTCCCACAGACTCTTGGGGCACAGAAAAGCTTCGAGCTGAGGTGCCGTCACTGCCACCCCACAACCACATCGAGGTTAAAGTACTGGCACAGGCAGCAGGCCTCAAGCAGAGCCAGGGGCATGCCCCAGGAGCTCCCCGGAAGCGTCGCAGCACACACCACCCCAGGTTGGGGACCCCCCCAGACATGAAGCTGGGGACGAGGGACCCCCAGTCCCATGGGGACGCTCAGAGACCCCAAGATTGTGGGGTGGAGGCCAGACCCCCCATCTCACAGACCCTCATCATGGCAAGGGTGGGTGTCACAGCCCCCCTGGAGCCAGTCCAGTGTCCCTTCCATGCCCAGGGACCCCCAGTCCCTCCAATACCCCCCAGTCTGTTGGTGTCTGGTCCCTCGGGACCCCCAGGCTAGAGCAGGTGCCATTCCCCTGGTGCCCTGTCACTCAAAAGTGCCAGTGTCCCCCTGTGCCCCTCAGGTCTCCTCTTGTCTGTGTCCCCCCAGCATCCACTGTCCAGAGCTGCCCCAGTCCCTCTGTACCCAGTTCCCCAAATTCCCAGTAATCCCCAGAGTATGGGTGACCCCTATGTCCACTGTGTCCTCCCAGGTGTGACCTCTCTTCTGCCTTCTGCCCTCTGGGTGTCAGTGTCCCCTCGGTGCTCCCCCTGTGCTCTGGAAGGCTAGATCCCTTGTGGTGACCCCCAACTGTTCCCCCTGCCAGTGCTCCCCTGGTGCCCCCCCTGCCCTCGGTGTGTCTCCCAGTGCTCTTCCCGGCCCCTGGCCAGTCCTTCCCTGGACACCCCATCTTTGTCCCTCGGTACCCCACCAGTGCTCCCCTGAATCCCCTCCAGTGACCCCCACCATGACAGCCCAGTGTCCCCCTCGTACCTCACTGGTGCTCCCCCAAACCCTCCCGGCTGCTCGCCCAGGACCCCCCCGTCCGGCACTCCTCCGGCGTCCGTCCTGCTCTCCTCGGCTTTCCCCCCGGTGCCCCTCCGGTGCCCCCCTACCCATGGCCCCGGATCTCCGCCGGTGCCCCCGCCCCGTGCCTCTCCCGCTCCGCCCCCCGGGACCCCACCAATG